CCAGCCGTGCCTACTCCAGGTCCCCGAAGCCCGTCCAGCCCGCGAACCAGCTGAGGGAGCCCCCGCGTCTGCCTCTCGGCCTCGCCCCGGGTCCCTGCCCCGCATCTTCCCCTCTCTCGCCTAAGCTGCCCGCCCCGCGCCTTTGTCCGCCCCTCACCCGCTCAGCTCTCGGAGCTTCTACCCCTACGGGGGAGGCGGGGAGACCGCGAAGGTCTGGGCTGCCCCAAGGACGTGCTGCGCAGCGAGCCTCTGGGCCGACAGTTTGCAGGGCTTTGATCTATTCTTCCTAGGTTACAGCTGTGATTTTATTTTCCCCTTCACGATGAAAGCCAGCTGCTTCCGTTCTCATTCGTGGTCAGAAAGCCTGGGCACAAGGCTTATCTACCCTAGTGCGGAATAACTCTGTTATCCCCCACCCTCTGTTATGCCAGAGGCCTTTGACCTGCCCTACTGGCCGCCGTCGCTTCCCATCTTCCTCTGCCCAGGGGAAGAAGTCTCTGTCTACAAGACCCTTTTTCTGTTTGAAAAAAGAAAACGAAAATACAGATGCCAGTCGTGGACCTCTGTTTGGTCTTAATTACATTGGTTTTATTAATACATTTAAATAAACTACGATTGTGGGAATGGGGGAGAGGACATGAGGTGTGTTCTTCAAAAGTGTAGAGTATTAAACAAATAGAATTTTTATTTTTGGTAAATAACGCGTTTCACATTAAACTTTAAAATCTTTTTCATGTTTTATCATGAATGGGCGTAGATCTAGTAATAGTGTAGTTTGAGCTTCAGACTTTTTCTTATTGGCAGTTTTCGATAAGTCTATACTTCTTTACCAGAATGGGAGGCACTGTGACAGCTACTCAGAGAATTTATTAAGGGTTATCCATCAATGCTATACCTTTCATACTTACATTCTGACTTTAAGGGATGCTTTCTTGAACATTCGTTTAACTGGAATTAATACTGGGTAGTTTTCCCTTGCTTGATATGATTCAGTTGTGTAAAGAAAATGTTAACAGAAAATTTTTTTTTCATATTTAGATGATTTAAATTATTCTTAAATGTATATATTATAAATGAGTAGTATTATATTGGAAATACACATACAAGTTTTAATTATTTTATATGAACAGTATATTTGATTAGCTAACAGGTGCCTGCACATTGTAGGCCACAATAAATATTTTAGAAATTTTAAATGAATCTTTTTCGAAGCGAAGTAAAAAAACAGCACCCACGTCCTTTCCCTGAATTCTGTTTCAGACTAATTTTTATTGAGGCCCAAACAAATTGTAATAAAATACCCCATGCTCTAACATACTTCTCAAATTGCGTGGTATGAAAAGTGATGATGTGCTAGGCACACAAGTAGAGAACAGTGAAGTTCTGTAAAATCTATTTTCAGCTGGTCTCAAGGCATTGTTTTACAGTTCTTAAACTCATTTTTGGAAATTTTTATGCCAATAATGGCCAAAATAGGAAAAAAATAATAGCAATAATAAATTATTTATTGAGCACCTTTTGTATGCCAGGTAGTGTGTTATATATATTATCAAATCCTTACAATAACCTCAAAGGTAGGTATTATTTTCCTTACATTGTAGCCGAGACCACTGAAATCATAGGTTGTACTGCTGGAAATGGTAAACTAGATAAGAATCTGACTTTCTACTCATTTTGTTGAGAGCATACTTCATTGGAAAGTTGCTGTCTCTCCTTTCATCTGTCACATTTATCTTTTTGAATCCATTTAATCTGAGGATTTTTGGAATGGTAACGTTACCACTACAAACATTATGTAGTATTATGTGCCAGGTAGTACTGTCCATATGTCCTCAAAAGTATGTGGGCTAGCTACTATTTTTCTTTGTTTTACAGATGAGGAAACTGAGGCATAGAGGTACGTAATCAGAACCAGATAATACCTTAAGTGGTAGAACCAGGACAAAAATTTGGGTAGTCTGGCTCCAGGGTCCATACCCAACATGATTCTGGCCCATCAACAAGGTACCTCTCTGGTTGCTAGGAAGCTGTGATTTTTAGAGTGCTTAGTGTTTTTCTTTGTTTCTTTTTAATGTTCATGCAGAAACATGTAGGATAACTTTATGATGTCTACCACCTGATGTCCTACATCAGTATTTTATGTAAACAATTACATAGTACTAATCATAGTTAACACTTAACTGAGAGCTTCTGCATTCCAACTCCCCATTCCAACATTTAAACATCTCACATAATCCTTAGCAGGATCCTAGGAGGTAGATACTGTTATTTTTTTTTTTTTCTTTTCTTTTTTTGCGGTACGTGGGCCTCTCACTGTTGTGGCCTCTCCCGTTGCGGAGCACAGGCTCCGGACGCGCAGGCTCAGCGGGCATGGCCCACGGGGCCAGCCACTCCGCGGCATGCGGGATCTTCCCGGACGGGGGCATGAACCCGTGTCCCCTGCATTGGCGGGCAGACTCTCAACCACTGCGCCACCAGGGAAGCCCGATACTGTTATTTTATGTTGCATCATATTTGTAAGGTGCTTTTATTGTCTTCAAAGTGCCTTCACAAAAATAATCCCTTTGATTATTTGTATGATGTCAAGTAGAGGTATTACCAGCACTTAATTTTTATTGCAGAATTTCAAATGACTTGCCTTGACTAACTTGTGTGGAGTTAAAACTCAAACCAGAGCTTCAGACTCCTATGTTCATTGCTTTTTCCACTATACTGGTCTCTCAGTGGATCTTTGCTTTATACTTCTTTTTTTTTTTTTGGCGGTACGCGGCCTCTCACTGTTGTGGCCTCTCCCGTTGAGGAGCACAGGCTCCGGACGCGCAGGCTCAGCGGCCATGGCTCACGGGCCCAGTCGCTCCGCGGCATGTGGGATCTTCCCGGACCGGGGCACGAACCCGAGTCTCCTGCATCGGCAGGCGGACTCTGAACCACTGCGCCACCAGGGAAGCCCCTGCTTTATACTTCTTGTCCTAAAATAGATAATATTTTTCCATAGGAACAGCTTATATTTGGAGATTATATTCCCAACCCAGATTCAACGTCAGTTAAGTCATAGATATGACTAGCTGTAAATCTTTGTCATTATTTTCATCTGTAAATTTATGTTCTGACTTTATATATAATGCCTGGCACATGGTGAGGCCTCAGTAAATGTTAAATTTCTTTTTTTTTTAAATTTCAGCTTTATTGAGATATAATCGACATAAATTCTCAAAATTTTCTAAATTTGAAGGGAGTAGCTTCTTTTTCTCTTCGATACCACAGCCTTCTCCCTCCCTTGCCTCACAAACAGCTTTCAAAATTGTTTCATTGAATCATAACTAACTTCAAAATGTTTAGACTCTCTCTCTACCCTAAGCCATCATTCCCAACTGCTGTCTCCCCTATACTCTCCTTCTAGAATATAATGGAAAGAGCATGGATTTGAGAGTCAGTTTTACCTGGATTTGAGTCTTTGATCTGCCTCTTACTAGTTCTGTGGCCTTGTACAAATTATTTAACTTTTCTGAATGTGTTTCTTCATCTTGTAAAATTGGGGAAAGCATCTATCTTATAGGGTTGTGGTGAGAATTGAAATAACTTACATAAAAGGCTTAGACCAGCTCCAGGCTCCTAGTAAATACTCAGTAAATAAGTTCTTAAAATTCTCTAAGGTTGAAGGAGGTAGCTTCTTTTTCTCTTTGGTACCGCGGCCTTACCCTCCTCCACAATACCAACAGCTATTATGTGTCCCTCCTCTGCCCCTGCTGGCTCCCCTCTGCTTTGGCTGTCAGCAAGTGATATTAAATGATGTTTGTCTGTTTGTATCCTCAACTCTCTACTCGTAAACTCCTACTAGTAAACTCCTTGAGGACAGGGACCATGCCATATTTATTATGGTATCCCCAATGCTTGGCTTATAGTTGGGACTCACTAAATGTTTATTGAGCGACATCCATTTGGAAAGCCTCCTAGAGACTTTTTTCTTGGTCATCCTGTTGCCTGAAGAGTTTGGACACACCCTTAGTCACTTGATTCAAGGTCTTCTGGATTGAACCAGAGGATGTGTGATGGTAGGAGACAGGGTGGGGAGCCAGATGAAGAAGCAGGCGAAGCCTCCACTCTGCAGGTGTGAGTGCATGTGTGTATGTGTGTGGAGGTGCCTTGGCTTTTTATATATGAGAGTCAGGGTGTTTGTTTGGGTGTGTGTAAGGGTTAAACCTTATCAGGCCAGTTATCACATTGCTTCTGAAGATAAGGAATAAGGACTTTACAAAAAATGTTTCAAACATATATAAACAATGCTAATTACATTTGTTGATATACTCTCCCCACCATATATAACTCATAATCACATGCGTAGTAACAATGATTATGCTTACCCTAAAATGTCAGATTAACTTAATTCTAAGTTTCGTTTGATTACATCAGTCAAAATTAAGTATACTCAGCCTCCATTGTTTATAGCATGAACATTCACTCACAGAGAAATAAAGGAAATATGGCTTAGGACTGCAATGAAATTATCATTCTTTTTAACTAGCTTTTTTTTTTTTTCACAGTTTAGTTCTACCATCTATGAACTGCTAATCAAAATACAGATCAGGCATACATAAGGATATTTTTTTAAGGAATATATATTGTATTCAACTTTTTCTCTCAACATATTATTATGAAAAATTTTAAACATACAGCAAAATCAAAAGAATTTTATAGTGAACACTTGTATACCCGTCACTTATATTCTACCCTTAACATTTTATCATACTTTTTTAATCACATATTTACCCATCTGTCCATCCTTCTATCTATCTATCCACCCATCCATAATATTCAAATGCTGTTATATTTGAAGAGATTTGAGCTATATATTCTGTTTTGATTTTAGGTCAGTTTTATCTTTCCTTTATGTAGTAGTAGATAATTCTTAGGAATGAATTATAACTGATTTATAATGTTCTGAAAACATTTGGATTTCAGATGTAAATAAATCTATTTGTCTTCTCTGTCTCTAGTTCCAAAAGATGAGTCATGGATATTCAGAAAACAACAATTTCCTAAACAATAACAACCAAATGGTGTTGGACATGATCCTTTACCCATTAATTGGGATCCACCAGACCATCAACTGGGAATCAGTGGCAAGGCTTGTGCCTGGATTAACACCCAAAGAAGTAAGTAACGGTCTTCCAGGTATCTACTGAAAAGAGATCAGAAAAAGTGATCAATTTAAAGGAATAACTGTTATACTAAGAAGAAATATTTGAGTTTTACATATTCATATGCACATATAAATACTGAATATACATACATATGATACAATTTGGCTAAATATAATCTATGTAAATTATATGATATATTAACCCACCTGGTATGTTTAAATTCAACCTTATCTTAAATGTTTACAACTGAATGGGTAGATAACATTTTTGTAAATCCAGTTTTATTAAATTGCTAATGCTAATGCTTTTCAAACTTGAGTAATGTACAGACCTTTTTAAAGGAAAAAAAACTTGAAAACTGCCAATGATGACTTAAATTATTATAGTGGAAATTAAATGTGCACTAACAATACTGGGTATAAACACACCTATATGATCATAAACCAAATTTACATTTTATAGACAAGTGAAAACTCAAACCAACACAATTCAAACTAATAAGCTTACTTAATGTGATTAGTAAGAGTGTTTTGCTGAAATTAAATTGCAGATTATAATGCAAATATTTGTGTAGCCTCTTGTTGCGCAAATTTTTTTGCATTTAGCCTGTACTGCCATGTGCCCTTCAAAGCCTTTACTCTTTCTCCACTTTTCTCTTTAACCCTCTACCGTGAAGCTGTGTGTTGTGCCAGGACATTACTTGCCTTCCCTTGGCACTAACACATCTCTTCTCTATACCAGGTTTCTTCTCCACATTGTCCTTTATTAAAATTAGCTGTGGGGGCTTCCCTGGTAGCGCGGTGGTTGAGAATCTGCCTGCTGATTCAGGGGACATGAGTTCGAGCCCTGGTCTGGGAAGATCCCACATGCCGCGGAGCAACTAAGCCCGTGCGCCACAGCTACTGAGCCCTCGCACCTAGAGCCTATGCTCCACAACAAGAGAAGCCACCGCAGTGAGAAGCCCGCACACCACAACGAAAAGTAGCCCTTGCTCACTGCAACTAGAGAAAGCCCGCACGCAAAAATAAAGACCCAAAAGCAGCCATAAATAAATAAAAAAATAAATAAATAGTAAAAAAATAAAATTAGCCGTGGACAATTAAAATATTTCTTGGTACCAACTTAATTTACAACAGAAAAGTGAATAGGCACGGAAATATTCTGTCATCCTAATGACCTGGATGATTTTATTAATGTTATCCTCAGAATCAAAACTCACAATCTAAAAACTCTTCTAGGGAACTCTTAGGTTTCTGGTAATTCATCTATGCACCTAGTTGGAGAAACACTGACTTCAGAATGTTTTACTATTAAAAGGAACCCTAAAGTGGATGAGTTGTCTCAGATTTCTAGAAGTAGAAAGGACATTAGTGATTTTACCCAGTAGGTTTTAAGCATATGCACCACTTCCTGGCCCATAATATACACTCAATAAATACCTATAGGATCAGTGAATGAACCAAATTCTACCCTCTTCTTTTACAGCTGAGAAAACCAGTACCCACAGGGATTACTTGCCCTCAGTTGTTATAGGTCTTTGTGAAATGATGAGGGAATTTATTATCAAGTGTATATTATCATTCCCTAATCTATACTTTTTCATCTTTTGGAATTTTACGTGTTAGGTTTTAAAACAAGGCAAACCTGTGAATTTGACTATTTTTCCAACTTTTTATTGTGAATATTTTCAAACATATAGAAAAGTTAACAGAATGGTATAGCATCCCTATATCCTTTTTTTGGAGTCAGCAATTCTAGGTGTTTGCTTGATCTCTTTATGTAACTTTTTTTTTTTTGACATTTAGAAGTAAGTTTCAGACATCACGATACTTCATAGACTGTAGCATACATCTTAAAATAAGGATATTATTGCATAACTACAGTACCATGATCAAACCTAAGAAAATTAACAATAACTCCATCTTATCATCTAATATCCACTGCATATTCAAATTCACTCAGTTGAGAACTTTTTTTTTTGTGGCTGCACTGTGCGGCTTGCAGGATCTTAGTTCCCTGACCAGGGATCGAACCCGTGCCCCCTGTAGTGGAAGCACGGACCCCTAACCACTGGACCACCAGGGAATTCCCAAGAAATTATTTTTTTAACTAAAATGCAACTAAATGTGAATCAGACTATTTTTAAGTAATGTTAATTTTTTTTTTTTTTCGCGGTACGCGGGCCTCTCACTGTTGTGGCCTCTCCCGTTGCGGAGCACAGGCTCCAGATGCACAGGCTCAGTGGCCATGGCTCACAGGCCTAGCCGCTCCGCAGCATGTGGGATCTTCCCGGACTGGGGCACGAACCCATGTCCCCTGCATTGGCAGGTGGACTCTCAACCACTGCGCCACCAGGGAAGCCCAGCAATGTTAATTTTTAATTAATTTCTTATTACTAAACAAGACATATCCTCAAAGAATACACACACAAACATAACACACACACACAAGGAAACAAGTGAAAAATCAGAATTATAAATATGACCCTACCTAAAGTAAGCTGTTGAAACCTTGTATATGTCCTTCCAGATTCTTTTCAATTCATATATGAATTCTTAAAAGTGGACATGTAACAAATGTACTACTTTGCTGCTTTGTTTTTCACTTAGCATATTGTAAACATCTTTACGTGTCAGTTGCTAGAGTTCTACATTTGATGACAGTATACTGTTATTTGAGCTAAATCATAATTTATTGAACCTTTTATTGGATATTTAAGCTATTGTTGCCAACTTTTGACTACTGTAACAACTATCTTATTCTTTTCTTAGGGGATAATCTCAGAAGCAGAATTGCTTCGTTAGAGGGCATGTGCATTTTTAAGGCTTTTGTTACATATTGTCCACTGGAAGGGTCATCCATGTTGTACTCCAGTCAAAATAGCTGAGTGCCTGATCCTTGCATTATATATATCAAGTGTTATTTCTCTGTGTGTCTTTTCAAAATTCTTATTTATATGTAAATAAATAAATATATGATTTTAATGTTATCTCATCACAGTTTTCATTTCCCTTTCTTTAAATCCTAAAAGATGAATGTTTTTTTTTTTGTTTTTTTTTTCTTGCGTTATGCGGGCCTCTCACTGTTGTGGCCTCTCCCCTTTGCGGAGCACAGGCTCCGGACGCGCAGGCTCAGTGGCCATGGCTCACGGGCCCAGCCGCTCCGCGGCATGTGGGATCTTCCCGAAACGGGGCACGAACCCGCGTCTCCTGCATCGGCAGGCGGACTCTCAAGCACTGCGCCACCAGGGAAGCCCAAGATGAATGTTTTATATTTTATTGTTCCATATCCTTTTTCTATTTGTAAATTTGTTGTTTTGTTACTAGTTTAATAACAGTTTTCTATGTATTGAATATATTAACCCTTAATCTAGCTTATTTTTCTCAGTTTTTTTTCAGCCTATAAGTTATTAATGATAGTCTCTTGTATACACATGTTTAAAAGTTTATGTTAAAAATCTGTGAATCTTTTACTTTGATGTTCTCCTTTTTTGTCATGTTTAGAAACCTTCTCAACCTAAAGACTGTGTATAATATAAAATCACCTACATTTTGCTGACTACTTTTTATTTTACATTTAAATCTTGACTCCACTTGGAATTTTTTTTTTTAATTATTTTTTTGGCTGTGTTGGGTCTTCATTGCTGCACGCTGGCTTTCTCTAGTTGTGGCTAGTGGGTGCTACTCTTTGTTGTGGTGCGCGGGCTTCTCATTGCCGTGGCTTCTCCTGTTGCGGAGCATGGGCTCTAGGCACGCGGGCTTCAGTAGTTGTGGCACATAGGCTCTAGAGTGCGGGCTCAGTTGTTGTGGCGCACAGGCTCTAGAGCGCAGGCTCAGTAGTTGTGGCACACGGGCTTAGTTACTCTGCGACATGTGGGATCTTTCCAGACCAGGGCTCGAACCTGTGTCCCCTGCATTTGGCAGGCAGATTCTTAACCACTGTGCAACCAGGGAAGTCCCTGGAATATTTTTAGTTTTAACTTTTTTCCTAATGAGTAGTTAGTTGTCTCAACATTTATTGAATAGTCCATTCTTTATTACTGGTTTGAAATTTTACCTTCAGATCTATTTCTCGACTTACCATTCTAATCCACTGATCTCTCTATCTAATCCTATTGACTGTTACGTACTGACTTATTTCCAATATTGTTTTACTATCTGGTGGACAAAAAGAAACTATATATATATATTTTTTAAGGTTTATTTATTATTTATTTAATTTATTTTTGGCTGTGTCAGGTCTTAGTTGCAGCACGCGGGGTCTTTGTTGAGGCATATGGGATCTTTTCATTGTGGCGTGTGGGTTTTCTCTTCTCTAGTTGTGACACGCAGACTCCTGGGTGTGTGGGCTCTGTGGTTTGTGGCATGCAGGTTCTCTAGTTGAGGTGCGCGAGCTCAGTAGTTGTGACGTGCAAGCTTAGTTGCCCCATGGCATGTGAGATCTTAGTTCCCTGACCAGGGATCAGACCCGCGTCCCCTGCATTGGAAGGCGGATTCTTTACCACTGGACCACCAGGGAAGTCCCAAAAATTAAATATTTTTAAAGTTTCTTGAATGTTCTCTTAATCTCCAGATTTTTTTTTTTTCATTTTGAAGCTGACCTGTTGGTATTTTGGAAGTGGAGAAAGGGTGAATTAAAATTTTCTAGATAAGCATTTACCTTAGCTAAAATAATGTATCTAATTTTTCCAAAGTGACTATACCATTTTACATTTTCACCAGCAATGTATGAGGGTTCCAATTTCTCCACATCCTTGCCAACACTTTTATTATGTCTTTTTTATTATGGCCATCCTAGTGTGTGTGAAGTGTTAACTCATTATGATTTTGATTTGCATTTTCCTAATGGCTAATGATGTTGACCATCTTTTAATGTGCTTATAGGCCATTTATAGAGCTTCTTTGGAGAAATGTCTATTCATATCCTTTGCCCATTTTTCAATTGCATTATTTGTCTTTTTATCATTGAGTGGTAAGAGTTCTTTATGTATTCTAGATACAAGTCCCTTGTCAGATATGTGATTGGTAAATATTTGCTCCTATTTTGTGGACTGTCTTTTCATTTCCCTGATGGTGTCCTTTGAAGTACAAAGTTTTAAATTTTAATGAAGCCTAGTATATCTAATTTTTCTTTGTTGCTTGTGTTTTTAGTGTTTAAGAAACTATCACCTACCCAAGGTCATGAAGATTTTTACCTATATTGCCTTCTAATAATTTTATAGTTTTAGCTCTTATACTTAGTCTTTGATCTCTTTTGAGCTAATTTTCTTATATGGTGTGAGGTAGGGGGTCCAACCTTTCTTTTGCATATAGATATCATGTAATTTTTGCTTAAACACAAAAGAAGATTTAACAATATACTTTAAATTATTCACAGTTCACTTGCTTTTTGTTTAAGCAATCGTGTTCATTTCAAATATTCAGGTTTCATAATTTTCTTATTTCATAAGTATTAGGAATTGTTGTAAGCTTTGTTAAATAAGATAAACCTACATTCAGTTTCCAGTATAGCTATAAGCATTACCTAAAAGATATCAGAAGAATCTACAGTTTAAAAGCCTACCTAGAGCTTCCCTGGTGGCACAGTGGTTAAGAATCTGCCTGTCAATAAAAGGGACATGGGTTCGAGCCCTGGTCTGGGAAGATCCCACATGCCGCGGAGCAACTAAGCCTGTGCGCCACAACTTCTGAGCCTGCGCACCTAGAGCCTGCGCTCCGCAATGAGAGAAGCCACCGCAATGAGAAGCCTGCGCACTGCAATGAAGAGTAGCCCCTCATCGCTACAACTAGAGAAAAGCCCGCTAGCAGCAACAAAGACCCAATGCAGCCAAAAATAAAAAATAAATAAAATAAATTTATATTAAAAAAAAAGTCTACCTAACCACTTTCTCTGTTACAAAAAATAAGCTCATTTTGTAGGAAAAATGGATTCAGTTAAATCACTTATATTCTTTATCCTATAGATGTACCTGTGTACCTGTACATTCTTCTAATCATTACAGCATTTTTTTTCTTTGCCAGGCCTTCATCACTGCTTTTTTCAGTCCTCATACAAAAATATTTTCTGTTTCTCATTTATCATATTAATTATTTTTATTTAATTTTAAGACTTTGCTTAAAGAGGTGGGCATACATACTGAGTATAATATTTTAGTCTAAACTTATGTATCTTTTTGTTTTGTTTTTGTTTATTCTTTTGGCTGCACCATGGAGCATGTGGGATCTTAGTTTCCTGACCAGGGATCAAACCCATGTCTCCTGCAGTGGAAGCATGGAGTCTTAACCACTGGACCGCCAGGGAAGTCCTACACTTACATGTCTTTTAAATTCATTTTCAAAGGACTAAGCCTTGAATAGGGATTTCTTTGTAGTAATAGTACTATAGTACTATTAGTAAACAATCTTTTCTGAAAATGGTGCTTAATATCTAGTGGGTACTTGATAAATTATTGTGTAATAAATGAATGATGCCATACCCGATGCATTATTCACATAACATATACGTGTATACGTGATATATATTTTTCTCCTTTTGCACCTCCCAGATTCCTTGGTCTGCTATGCAGTTTGCCACCCACGTTGCTACTGATGGAGATTTAAACATGAATGTTATAGAAGTATTGTTTGACCAAGACCCACATTAAGGAAGGCATTTTATGTTGTGACGTAGTACACACTTAGAAATGACATTTTCATGAAGGACTACTTAGCCTTATTATGCTTAATGCACTCTTGATATTTTCTAATCTATTGTATTTTATTTCTTTTTTTTTATTTGCTAATCTGGACTTTTCTAAATTGATTCCGTGACTAACAATGGGTTAAGGGAAAACACTGTTATAGAACAAACTGCCAAAATATGTGGCCATGAAGTGTTACTACAGTATTTTGTGCATGGCGGACCTCACTGTTAGTAAGAACAAAGACTCATTATTTTAATAAAGAAGATCTAGTGTCACAAATCAGATACTTTTTGTTTTCTTTTTCTTTGAAGGTTAGAATTTGGTCTTGTTCCTGGTGGAAATTCAGTGTGAAAATAAAAGCCAAGTTTTTAACTAAATTATTAAAATTATCAACTGATGATAGACGTAGACCGTGGGGAAATATGGTTGATAAAGGCATTCTTCATTTTTCTACAAAAGCATAAGTACATTATGCCTTTGAGTTAAAGCATATTTTTTTAAAGAACTACCCTGAATTTTAAAAAAGAAAAAAGTAAGTCAGAGGCTTTCATGTATTGAAATGTGCGCTAATTTTCTAGATGTTACCCAAGATATTCACTTATAAAAAATGATTTAAAACGCCCCAGACATGCATTTCCTTCCTGTATATCATTACAGTGTGCAAAGAGGTTTGATGAACTGAAGAACAGTGGAAGCTCACCTGTGGACAACCACTATAGTCCCCTCATGGCTGCTGGAGAGAGTCCTGTTGAAACTTTAGCCACGTATATCAAATCCTCGCTTCTTGGCACACAAAGAGAATTTCAGGAGACTCCAGTTGGTCAGGATGCAGTTTCTAAAACAGGTAAGGTTTTAAAAACAAAATGCAGTGCTTGTCCTTACGACAATTCTACAAGATATTATGCATTCCCATCAACTTTTCTTTATTTAAAGGCTAATAGAAACATGAATAGAAAAATCTATTAGTATTTTCCTGAGCTTTAGAAATTTGTCTTTGCTGTATTTAAAAAAAAAGTGTAGATGTTAACATACAGGTCAAACACTATTACCAAAAAAAGCTTTTTACTTTATCAAAATTTACTACTCCAGTCCATTAGCCTATTTATGTTATGTTGTAAATTTTAAAGGGATTTGACCTGTACCTTTTACTTAATTTTTTTTTTTTACTGGGAGAATCTTGCTTGCCTCTCATGTTATCTTTGCTACAGCTCCCCTCTATTGGAGTCAGCAATAGCTTCAGATGACATAGCAGCAGTGTAGAAGTGATGTTTTCCACAACTTCATTGGAAATAATAACTGGTTTTAGAAATCTTCAGTGTAGTGAATTATTTTAATTTCAGCAGCAGCAGAGTATTGATATAAAAATTTGCTTCAGGAAGAGAAAACTATATTGTAGGCTTTTGAAAATTTGACCCCATCCCTACACACCATGTTAGTATTTTTTAAATCTTCAGTGTAATGTTAGCAATTTGTGATCCTTTTTTTGTAGTTTTTTTCCATATACCTTTAGAAATATTAAGGCACCTGACAAAGTACCATCTTTAAGTACTCTTGGAAACCATGAATTTATAGTATAACCATTCAATAAGTAAAAACCCATTCTCAGTTAGAAATGCTAACCTCCCCCCTTTGTTTTTGTATGTGTTTGTTTCTGTATTTAAAGGAAGACATAGTATAGCTTCCACAAGGAATTGTTCTTCAGAAAGTGAAAATTGTACTACTCATAATGGTGGAGAAAAGACTGAAGAATCTGAAGGGTAGGAGGCTGGTTCTTTGCTAGATAAGCTTTAATATGAATATCAACTTTAAATTATAAAAATATGATTGCTAATTTTATATATCAGTTACCATAATTTAGGAATTTCACATTACGCAATTGCTGAAATAATTGAAATGAGGGTAGTTGATGTGTTGAACTATAAACAATTGCTTGATAGGTAAACGTATGGCTTATTCATATAAATTGGACAACAGTTTTCCACTTTAAAAATTCATTTTCATCTTGTATTAGAAATAACATCTATTAACATAAACTTTTGAAAAGTGAATTTTAAAACCCAAAGAAAAGTCTCTGCCATTAGTTCTCCAACTTTATTAAAGAAACTGGATGTGTGTTTTAGAACTATTTGAATATAATTACTCATTGTAGAAATATTTAAAAATTAAAATACATCTTTCAATATAATGCAAGTTTTGATAATTTTGTATTGTTTTGTGTATTTTACATATAATAAACTGCACATATTTAAGTATTCACTTTGATGAGTTTTAGCCATATAACCAATGAAGATAAAGAACATTTTCATCATCTCTAAAAGCTCCTTTGTATATTTTCAGTTCTGATAGTTTTTTATAACAGCTTTATTGATATATAATTCACATACCATAACATTTATCCTTTTGAAAAGTTCTGGAGATGGATGGTGGTGATAATTGCACATCAATATGAGTGCACTTACTGCCAGTGAACTGTACATTTAAAAATGGCAAATTTTGGGGCTTCCCTGGTGGCGCAGTGGTTGGGAGTCCGCCTGCCGATGTGGGGGACGCAGGTTCGTGCCCTGGTCCGGGAGGGGCCCGCATGCCACGGAGCGGATGGGCCCGTGGGCTGTGGCCGCCTGGCCTGCGCGTCCGGATCCTGTGCTCCGCGGCGGGGGGAGCCGCATCGGTGGGAGGCCCGTGTACCGCAAAAAAAAAAAAAAAAAGGCAAATTTTATGTTATGTGTGTTTACCACAATAAAAAAATTCACCCTTTTATAGTTTAGTGAATTTTAGTTCATTCACAAAGATTTTTTTTTTTCGGCCGTACCACGTGGCTTAGTTCCCTGACCAGGGATTGAACCCACGCCCCCTGCATTGGAAGCACAGTCTTAACCACTGGACTGCAGGGAAGCCCCCCTCACATAGATTTTTAACTGATAGGTTTTGGGTATGGCACAAAAATTTATCTGATTAATTAATTAGGATTATCTAATTTCATGTTGTGGCCCAAAAAGCCACAGAAATTTCATACTTCATTATACCAGCCATTACCTGTTTATATTTTGACCACAATTTCTTTGAAAGAACAACTTGCAAAGTTACTTAAATTCCTTTGACTTTGACAGAGCATTGATTATTAATCCTTTTTCTGTAGCCAGTTTTGTTTCAAATGTAATTTCTCTGTATTAAAATTTTTTGTTCAATTAAACACACATTAAATTCATATTATAGGGTAGTCTGTCACTTCCTATCTAATCTCTTCCTTTTGTAATGACATGAAGGCAGTTATGGATCACACTAGTGTTTCTTTTTGTGGTGATGTAATTTTCAAGGGCATATAAATTCAAGGAGTATAGAATTTTTGAAGCAATCTTTCTGATGCATCATCTAAACTTATTCTTAGATTGTTTTTTAAATATGTAAATAAGCATGTTGTAGTCTTAATTTTTTAACCACATTTACTAATTTATATTTATTGAATGCCTAGAAACAAGCTTTCTTGCTGTTAAAAATAACAAAGTAGCTATGCTAATTTTTTGATACTTCAATGAATAATTTTAACCGTTTCTCCTATTAATAGTAAGAAAATTTTAGTATTTAATCTATATCTCCGTCCCATACCCATTACCATGTAAAAGTGTTGTTTTATGTTCCTCACAAGAATTAGAATGTATAATTTAATTTTTCTTTGTGAATTGGTATTTTTAAAAACATTATAATTAACTTATAATTTGAAAATAAATTTAAAACCCTGTAAATTATAAGTTCTGTAGTAAAAATATTTTTGTTTTATTAAATCAATAGCTTAACTAAAATTAGTCAATTTTCAGATACAGATCAGGTTAGCAAGACACTTATGAAAACTTCTGAATGTCAAACCCTGTAAAACTGATGTGTGGTTAAAACCTTGAAAAATATCTTGTTCTCATACTTCCAATAAATGTCAATATTATTGGCTCCTCTTCTAAAATTCTAATAATTTCATTTCTGTGTAACATTTTTTATGAAGGCCAAACATGGTGATCCATGTATGTGATGAAGCAAAAAACTTGAAAGAAGATTTTATTTGCCCACGAGATCTTTTGATATCAGAAATGAAGTACTTTGCTGAATATTTATCTGTGGACGCCCAGCGCTGGGAAGAGGTGGACATTTCAGTTCATTGTGACGTTCACATTTTCAACTGGTTGATAAAATATGTTAAAAGGAACACTAAGGAGAATAAAGATTGTGAGATGCCCACTTTAGGTAAAAGACAATCTATTGCTTATTTTGTAGTGCAATTTTTGTGTCAGCTGGAAGTTGCTTCAGGCCAAACATGAAGTGTGGAAAATTGTTCAAACATTAGTATTTATGCTCAGATTAGTAATCACCTTTTAGGAAACTGATACCTCACCCTTTGTAAGCCAATTATAGTGAATTTATGGCAAATGGACAGGTCTCTAGATCAGCTATTTTCACTGTATGGTACAGTGACCGACCACTGGAGTCCTAAAGATCCTTTTAGAGGATCCACAAGGTCAAGAGAATCTGCTTAATAATGCCAGTATGTTGCTTGTCTTTCTCTCTGTGTTGACATTTGTTCAGATGGTGCAGAAGTAATGGAGGATAAAACTGTTGGACCTTTAGCACACATCAAGGAAGGAGCATCACACTGTATTAGTGGTCACTGTGTTCTTCAACACCATGTGCTCATAGGAAAAAAGAAAACAAAAAAACAGTTTCACTTAAGAATATCCTTGATGAGGCAGCAAAAATTACTAATTTTATTAACTCTTGACTCTTGAGTATACATCGTTTTGATATTCTGTGTAATGACGCAGGAAGTGCATTGCTGCTGCACACCAAAGTATGATGGCTGTCTGAAGGAAAAGCATTTATTTGTACAGTTGCTTGAGTTGCAAACTAGCTGCTTTTTTATGAAACCATTTTTACTTGGAAGAATGGCTGACAAGTTATGGTTATTCAGACTTAGGCATTTGGCAGATATTTTCTTTCTCTCTCTTTTTTTTTTGGCCACACCACGCAGCTTGCAGGATCTCAGTTCCCTGACCAGGGATTGAACCCAGGCCACGACAGTGAAAGCCCAGAATCCTAACCATATGGCCACCAGGGAACTCCCCAGACAAATATTTTCTTGAAAATGAATTCAATGAGCCAGTCAATTAAAGGGAAACAACTAACAATATTTGTTGCCAGTGATAAAATTCAAGCTTTCAAGTGAGACTTAGAGTATTGGAAAACTTGTATCTGCTTGCATGTGCTTGAGAGTTCCTCAATATTTAAAGATGTTTCTGATGAGACTGGTGAGATTTTGTGTGTGTGTGTGTGTGTGTAGTGTGCAATGAAATATTTCAACATTTGGAAGATTTGCATAACTCAGTGAACCAATATCTTCCTAATAACCAATGCATGATGTTAAAAAAAATCATGCATGGTTTGAAGGTCCACTCAAAGTACAAGATAAATCAGTGGATTTGAGATAGCAGAATAGGAAAAGTTCATTGATATGATTTCAATTCCCATTGCAACTAACCTTTAAGAAAGACTACTCACAAATTCAATGTGGAAACAGATACAAGAGAATCTAGCTGTCTTCCCTTAAGTCATACATTGAAGAGATTTATAAAAAAATGTCAAACTGTTATTTTCACCTATTTTTTTGTTTCTATTGGAAAATATAGTTATTTTTCATAAAATATGTTAATATGTAATTAGTTCATTATTTTTAAGTGAATATTTTTTTAAAATTTCTGTTTTAATTTCCAATATGGTAAATACTGATAGATATAACCCACATAAACAAAAGCTCTCCAGGAATTTCAGTTTTTAAGATTTTTTTAAAGGGGTCTTGAGAGCAAAAGTTTGAGAACCAGTGTTCTAGAGGATCAGAAGACTAATTACTAAGTAATCTTTTTGGGGCATTGACTTGTATAGGAAATCACACTGGTGGTTTAATAAAGTCTGTGCACGAGAATTGCAATTTACAGTAGTAGCAAAATATTTCTAGACTCTTGTTAGTAAATAAACCTATACTGACAGTATGTAAGAAGTCTTATGAGGAAGTTCATAATTCGATACATTTTTGTGACCAAATTAATAAAAAAGTTTTCTAATGGTCCTTAAAATGACAAAATTGCGGGCTTCCCTGGTGGCGCAGTGGTTGGGAGTCTGCCTGCCGATGCAGGGGACACGGATTCGTGCCCCGGTCCGGGAGGATCCCACGTGCCGCGGAGCAGCTGGGCCCGTGGGCCATGGCCGCTGGGCCTGCGCGTCCGGAGCCTGTGCTCGCAGCGGGAGGGGCCGCAGCAGTGAGATGAGAGGCCCCCCGAACCCAAAAAAAAAAAAAAAAAAAAAATTACAAAATTGCTAACTCAAAATTTTCAACCAGTCAGAGCCCAGAGATTCCAGACCATGCAGATATGTATGTGTGAAATAAAAATCAAAATACGTAGAGAGAAAAAAATTACTGTTTGATCTAGTATGTTTAAGAACATAGTACAGGTTAAAAAAGTGGTGCAAAACTGGTGTCTCTGTAATCTTGGACATTAAATCAGTGGCTACAAATGTAAGGTTTTATAAAAGCAGTCTTTATTCTAACTAGGAAAACTACCAAAACGCTTAATTAAATTGCTAATAATCCAGACCTTGTGTCTTAATTGGAATGGGTTATATTATAGTTTCCTGAGGAACTTTTTCACCAGCTCCTTCCTCCCTTTACCATTGCTCTTTGAGAACCTTTAATCTAGAATTGTTACTTAAGGAAAGATTGGGATTACTTATTTTAATCATTGCCTGCATAGTCCTTTATTTAGGAGGATTGTCTTAGTACTATAATGGTAAAAATCACAGTTTTTTCCTTTTTCTTAAAAATATACCTCATGGGAGATGACTGAAGTTGTTTTACTAAAATGATAGATAGCATCAGCCGGCATCCCCCATTCCCTGGTTGTGCCTCCGAAGTCTGCCTTTAGGAAGTAATTTTGCATTTCTGCAATAGTAAATTTTATATTATCTTTCAGAATCTTTTAAATTAAGTATTTGTTCATAACAGTCATTTGAACCACATTTGAAGTAGCTTCACTGTCATTTTTGTGTGATGAGTTATATTCACAACTTGAATTATCTTTTTCCCTGGTTTAGTTAAGGAGGAGTTAGCATATATCATATCTTTAGCTGGAGTCTTTTTACTTGCTATGAATCTAATTCCAAGGCAAATTTACTATGCATTTTCTCTATACTGTAAGTTTTAACATTGCATTTTCTTTCTTTCATGTATATAAGCCATAGTAAGGTTTTATTAAATTGTTCTTATTAAAGTAACATCCTCTTTTAAGGTGAGAAGGGCCTGTTCTAAGGAGATTGAGGTACAAATCCAAAGGAGAATTTAATTTTTCTCTCTTTTTTTTTAGAGCCAGGAAACGTCATTTCAATTCTTATTTCTTCAGAATTTTTGAAAATGGATTCATTAGTAAGTATTAATAAGAGATTCAAGTTCTTCTATTCACCCATACTTGATTTAACATATAACTTGATGTTTCCTTCAAATATCTAGAAAATTCTAAGACATCTTCCTGAAGTAGTTGTTAATTCAAGAGTGTGATTCATTAGAATAAACTGCTGGTGTTTGGAGGTACGTTGTTCTATTAGGAAGGCTATTGTTAAGGCTACTATGTATCATTAGTATATGGTGCCTATAAAACAAACAATTTATCCTCAAGGGAGGAGTTAGCTGTTGCATTAGGTGAAACTAAACAGAATTAATTTTACCCCAAAAGGGATTTTGCTCTGAAACCAAATTAAATGAAAACTAATTGGAATACACTTGTTTTACTATTAAAGTAATTGGTTTAAGCATGTTTTACTTATTTGTGTCTTTCATTTATAGTTCAGCGAATTAAGAACAAATACCCAACTACTAAATAATGTAATTTTGTATGTGTAAACCACATGCTCATGTCTGTTGTTTAAGAATAGTTGATAAAACATAAAAGCATATACATATACATATCAAGCTGTAACATTAAATATATTTGTTTTTCTTCTTTTTCCTTTTATTTAATAAATTTCTTTATTGTTCAAATGTTTTTTATATGTTTTTGTGGTTTAAATTAACATTTAAATGAATATTTGCTTTTAACCTCTGGTAAAACTAAGCAGAGCAAAATACCCCTTTGCTGTGTTAACAGATGTGAAGTTTATTTGTTTGAAGTTTTATTAGTTCCCTGTATTCTTTGTACTCCTTAGTCCTTCTCCTTTCAGTTGTTGGTATTTATTGCTTCAGGTGAGGGTTATAGAAAAAAGCAGAGACTAAAAGAGTCTCTGAGTTTTGATTTTTGAAATCTAAGCCCTAAAGGATGATTTTTATGCCATAGCAAAATATTTAGAAGAATGCATAATTAACCATTGCTGTTTTTCCCCAAAACCCAAATCTACCTCAAAAAGTAAATACATACACCTCACAGTGAAGAAAGGGAAAGAAAGTCAGAGAGCAAGCACAACACAACTGAGAAAACCCTGAAGTGACTGAAATTGTGTTTCTGCCACTCAGAGAGACGGAGGCTTAAAATTATCACTAAGTTTAGTTATAGGAAGTCACATATCTTGTACCCTTGAGTTTGTGGACTAAAATTTATATCTGCCACAGTCATGAAAGATGTTCATTACATTATTGTTTGAAATATTCTAAGTAGTGTGAAAATTATTTTTCTAGCTATGTTTGTACAAATTTGACCTGCTAGACCACTTTGGAACAGTGCAGATTAACCCAAATAGGCAGAACTAAGTTATTGTGTAGCAATACATGGATTAGGCTTTTAATGAATCTTATCTTTGAAAAGTATTGATATGACATTATCCTTTATGCGACTGTCTTCAATATTCATTTTCTATTGTGTTTTTTGTTTAGGTTGAACAATGTATTCAGTATTGCCACAAAAATATGAATGCCATAGTAGCTACCCCATGCAACATGAATTGTATTAATGCAAATCTTCTTACACGTATAGCTGATCTATTCACACACAGTGAAATTGATGATTTAAAGGACAAGAAAGATAAGTTTAGGAGGTAATTTTTAAATTTTAATTTAATTAATTTATTTTTTTAAAACTTTTGGTGGCACCGCACGGCATGTGGGTCTTAGTTCCCTGACCATGGATCAAACCTGCACCCCCTGCAATGGAAGCACAGAGTCTTAACCATTCGATCACCAGGGAAGTCCCTAAATTTAATTTTAAAAGTAATGTTCCTATTAGAAGAAATGTATTATTTCTATTTCATTTTAGTAAAAATTCTATATTTAGAATATATTTAGAAATCTATTTCCATTTTATTTTATTTTATTTATTTATTTATTTTTTGCGGTACGTGGGCCTCTCACTGTTGTGGCCTCTCCCGTTGCGGAGCACAGGCTCCGGACGCGCAGGCTCAGCGGCCATGGCTCATGGGCCTAGCCACTCCGCGGCATGTGGGATCTTCCCAGACCGGGGCATGAACCCGTGTCCCCTGCATCAGCAGGCGGACTCTCAACCATGGCGCCACCAGGGAAGCCCTCCATTTTATTTTAAATGAAGTAAAATATATCCTGAGCCAGTGGCTCAGGTAAAAATTAGTAATTAAATTGGTTACTCTGAATAAGGCACATATAAGCAGATTGTGGTGGTGAATTATGTTAAAAATTATTAAGACAGGCCTTAGTATAAAGGGGAAGAGTGATATGAGATGAGGTCAGCAGCACTTAGGGGCTGTGTAAGTCATAGCAAGGAGTGTATACTTTATTCTAGTTGGAATGGAAGCAGAGGAGTGGCATGATCTGATTTGTTTTTAAGAGCTCAGTCTATTCTGTGTGGAGAATAGACTATAAGAAGCAAGACCTATTAGAAGTCTAGTGCAGCAGTCTAGTGAGAGATGAAAGGCTTTGGACTAGAGTGGAGGCAGGGGAGCTTGAAGGAAGTAGATGGATTCAGAATATGTTAATAGAAAGATTTGACAGATTTTCAAATGGAATGATGTGGGAAGAGAGAAAGTATTTTAGGATAATTACTAGGTTTTAAGGTTGAGCAACTAAGTGTGCTAGTTTCATTAATAGAGAGGGCAATGACTGGGGTGAGGGGAATCAGGAGATGGGTTTGGGTCTTGTTAAGATTATTTAATATATTTAATATACTTCTTGGACACACAGGTAGGATGGCAGGAGATAGTTGGATATGTAAGTCTGAAGTTTAGGTCAGAGGTCAAGGCTTAAAATAGAAATATAAGAGTAGGTGAGGTTTGAAACCATGGAAGTGAATGAGATTTCCTAGCACTACCATATGTTCTCTCCTGAATTGCAGTGGCACCTTTACTGTAAATCAGGAGACTACATGTGAGGTCTCTTTCTGAATTCTCCATTTTGTTCTGTTCATTTCTTTGTCTGTACTTTTATCAGTAGCACACTGTCTTAAGTACAGTAGCTTTCTAATGTTTTTTGGTATCTAGTAATCTGAATTCTCCAGCTTTGCCTTCCTTCAAGATTGATGTCTTGGTCTTGATGTCGGGCCTGTCACTGTTGTGGCCTCTCCCCTTGCGGAGCACAGGCTCTGGACGCACAGGCTCAGCGGCCATGGCTCACAGGCCTAGCCGCTCCGCGGGATGTGGGATCTTCCCGGACCAGGGCACGAACCCGTGTCCTCTGCATCGGCAGGCAGACTCTCATCCACTGTGCCACCAGGGAAGCCCTGTCTTGGTCATTTTATATACTTTGCATTTCCATGTGAATTTTATAATCAGCCTGCCCATTTTCTCTTCTTTCCCTCTCATACACACACACAACCCTGCAGATTTGAGGGTTAATATTCAACCTGTAGATTTGGAAAGAGACATCTTAATAATATTGAGTCTTTCAGTTCATGAACACGGTATAACCCTCCACTTACTTTAGCAATGTTTTATAGTTTTTAGTGAGAGAGACTTTTCCTTTTTTAACTAAATTTATTCGTAGGCATTTGAATTTTTTGGTGCTATTGTAAAAGCTATTTTTATTTATTTTATTTTCTAATTGTTAGCAAGAGAGTATTGATAAAGACTGTCTAACATTTGGAGGTTCAACAAGGGAGGAGCCAGTGAGGAGCCTGAGAAGGAGGAGCCAGGGGGTCAAAGGGAAGGCAAAAGGAAAGAGGGTTTCAAAAAGGAGGAAGTGATTAAGTGGTCAAAGATGTGGAATGCTGCTACCCTGTAGGGTAAGATGAGAACAGAAATGTGGCCAGTTGAATTTAAACAACTTTTTTCCAGATGTTTTGCTCTGAATGATTGCAGAAAAATTCAGCAGTAGCTATTACAGATAGGTATGCTCAAGAAATGATTTTTTTTTTAAGAAGGGAGATACTAGATTATATTTATATATGCTGATCAGGATGATTCCTTATAGTGGGAGAAATTGATAGTGCAGGGAATTATCTAAGAGTTTAGTCCTAAAGGGGAATGAGACACAGGGGAATTATCCAAGAGCTAAATACTTGAAAATGGAATCAGGATCCTAAATCCAGATTGGCGTTTAATAGCAGTCATTACTTGAGAGAAAATGGAGACAGTCAGGGTGTACACTTGGAATTAATGACATACTTAGAAGACTTAAAGTTCATGCAGAACATTATTATATTATGCATAGTAATAAAGTATTAACATTTATTGAATGTTTAATACTGTCTGGCACTCTTTAAAAAAGACTATCTCATTTAACCCTCATAAAATCTTATGCATTTGAAATTACTAACCCCATTTCATAGAGGGAGAAAATAAGGTTCAAAGATGTTAAGTTGCCAAAGATCACATACCAAATTATTGATAGACCCAGGATTGTTAAATTTCCAAAATCCTCGGTCTTGAGTATTCCTTAACAAAGGACTGAAAGAGGGGTAAATATCCATCTGTCTCATTTTTCTTGTGAAAATGGATTCTTGATCAAGCAGTTCTCATTAGTAGGTTTGTTTACTTAGAACACTAAATATTTATTATAAATTCCCAAGGAAGGGGTCTCTAAGGATTTATTAGTCTTATTTTCTACATGTGCCAGATAGGTCAGTGTTTATTTTCATCACTATCAAGTAACTTTAATAAAGTAGATATAAAAAATTAATTCGTTGGTCATTTGTTCTTAATAGTAAACTTTTTTGTAAGAAGATTGAGAGACTGTTTGATCCAGAATACTTGAATCCAGATTCTCAGAATAATGCAGCAACATTATACAGGTACAGTGATATGTTTTTCTTTGGTATGCTATATAATGCAGCCAAATTCTTTAATTTTACTACATTTGAAATTTTCTTCTTGGATGTTTTTGTATCTTCTTTTTTGTTGTTTTTTAATTTTTAAAATTTTAATACAATTTTTATTTTTTTAATATTTAAATATTTATTTATTTATTTTGGCTGCACCTGGTCTTAGTTGTGGCACACAGGATCTTTAGTTGCAGCATGAGGGATCCTTTAGTTGTGGCATGCGGGCTTCTTCAGTTGCGGCATGTGAACTCTTAGTTGCGGCATGCATGCGGGATCTAGTTCTCTGACCAGGGATTGAACCTGGGCCCCCTGCATTGGGAGCGTGAAGTCTTACCCACTGGACCACCAGGGAAGTCCCAAATTTTTTATACAATTTTTAAAGTTTACTTTCCATTTACAGTTATTACACAATATTGGCTATATTCCTTGTGTTGTACAGTACATCCTTGAGCCTATCTTATACCCAATAGTTTGTATCTCCCACTCCCCCACCTCTATTTTGCCCCTCCCTACCCTCTCCCCACTGGTAACCACTAGTCTGTTCTCTATATCTGTGAGTCTGCTTCCTTTTTGTTATATTCACTAGTTTGTTGTATTTTTTTAGATTCCATATATGAGTGATAACAAATAGCATTTGTCTTTCTCTGACTTATTTCACTTAGCATAATGCCCTCCAGGTCTATGTATGTTGCTGCAAATGACAAAATTTCATTTTTTATGGCTGAGTAATATACCATTGTGTGTGTGTGTGTGTATGTATGTATGTGTGTATACCACATCTTCTTTATCCATTCGTCTGTTGATGGAACTTAGGTTGCTTACGTATCTTGGCTATTACAAATAATGCTATGAACATTGCGGGGTGCATGTATCTTTTTAAATTAGTTTTTTGGGTTTTTTTGGTTTTTTTTTTTTTGGATGTATACCCAGGAGTGGAATTGCTGGGTCATATAGGGGTTCTATTTTTAGTTTTTTGAGAAACCTCCATACTGTTGCACAGTGGCAGCACCAATTTACATTCCCATTAACAGTGTACAGGGGTTCCCTTTTCTCCACATCCTTGCCAACATTTGTTATTTATGTTCTTTTTGATGATATCCATTCTGATGGATGTGAGGTGGTATCTCATCGTGGTCATGATTTTCATTTCCCTGATGATTAGATGTTGAACATCTTTTCATGTGCCTTTTGGCCATCTGTATTTCCTCTTTGAAAAAATGTCAATTCAGTTCCTCTGCCCATTTTTTAATCAGGTTGTTTGTATTTTTTTTGATTATATCTTTGTGTTATAGATGCTGTTTGTGTAAGAAACTTTTAACAAAAGAAACAGAAAGAAGAATTCCTTGCATTCCTGGAAAAATCAATGTGGATCAACATGGAAATATTATCTACATTCATATAAGGTGTAGTGAAAATAAAATACAGCTTTTTAAATGTGAATTAATAGTGTATTTATTAAAAGCAAAACTACTCTTGTAAGGAATAGGATAATATCTTTTCTGCAATGATCCAACTTTGATTTGGAAAGGTGCTACTTTCAAAACAAAGTTGTTGTAAAAGCTTTATCTTGAAAGATATTCTGATCAGTGCCATTAAAATGATTTCTTTTCACTAACAGATTTTAGTTATCTATTATATAAGTGTTTTTGAGAAGACAACCAAATTTACTTCCAGATAAATTTTGGTGAGTGAAGCAAATTGTCTTTAAAATTGGATTTTTCGTAATTTATTCTTCATACTTTGTCAGTATTCCATTAATGCATAGTCCTTTTTAATTCCCCTTTAAGTTCAAAACTGGTTCTCATCCTGAGTTGGGGAGTAGGGAGAGAGTGTTATAAATCGTTATAATGTCTCAGGATAACAAAAACTTTAAAATATATATGTATATTCTCTGACAGTATCCTACTGCTAGGAATTTATTCAGAGAGGTAATGTTGATTTGTGAAAGCACTTAATGAGAACATTTATTGCTCTATATAAATAAGAAAAAGTAAGAAAAACACTCAAATGATTAGGTGAACTAAAATATATCCGTAAAATAGTATATATATATAAAACACATCTAATCAATTCTTAATATGCAGCCTTTGAGAATGTAAAAGAATATATACTCACACAGAAAATTGTTAGTGGTAAATTAAATAAGAAAAAAACAGGTTATAAAACAGAACTAGAAACATGTTCACTAAAATGTTAATTGTGGTTTTACCTTTGAGTGATAGTATTATGGATGATTTTCGTTTGCTTTTTGCTTTTTTTCCTATATTAAAAATGTACAGTACTTTTACTAAAGAAAAAACCCTACAAATGTTAGATTTCATATTTTAAACATTAAAACAGAAACCCAGAGAAACACATGACATTTGACCCTAGTGTTAATAATAGCACAGTCAACATTAAAATATTTCATTTTTCTCTCCATATAATAAAGGGACTATACATTAGTTATTATAAGCACTTGGGATTTTTTTTAATACAGCAGGTTCTTATTAGTCATCAATTTTATACACATCAGTGTACATGTTAATCCCAATCGCCCAATTCATCACACCACCATCCCCACCCTCCCCGCGGCTTTCTCCCCTTGGTGTGCATACGTTTGTTCTCTACATCTGTGTCTCAACTTCTGCCCTGCAAACCAGTTCATCTGTACCATTTTTCTAGATTCCACATACATGCGCTAATATACGATATTTGTTTTTCTCTTCCTGACTGACTTCAGTCTGTATGACAGTTTCTAGATCCATCCACGTCTCAACAAATGACCCAGTTTTGTTCCTTTTTATGGCTGAGTAATATTCCATTGTATATATATACCACATCTTCTTTATCCATTCGTCTGTCGATGGGCATTTAGGTTGCTTCCATGACCTGGCTATTGTAAATAGTGCTGCAATGAACATTAGGGTGCGTGTGTCTTTTTGAATTATGGTTTTCTCTGGGTATATGCCCAGTAGTGGGATTGCTGGGTCATATGGTAATTCTATTTTTAGTTTTTTAAGGAACCTGCATACTGTTCTCCATAGTGGCTGTATCAATTTACATTCCCACCAACAGTGCAAGAGGGTTCCCTTTTCTCCACACCCTCTCCAGCATTTGTTGTTTGTAGATTTTCTGATGATGCCCATTCTAACAGGTGTGAGGTGATACCTCATTGTAGTTTTGATTTGCATTTCTCTAATAATTAGTAATTAGTGATGTTGAGCAGCTTTTCATGTGCTTTTTGGCAATCTGTATGTCTCCTTTGGAGAAATGTCTATTTAGGTCTTGCCCATTTTTGGATTGGGTTGTTTGCTTTTTTAATATTGAGCTGCATGAGCTGTTTATATATTTTGGAGATTAATCCTTTGTCCATTGATTCGTTTGCAAGTATTTTCTCCCATTTTGAGGGTTGTCTTTTCGTTTTGTTTATGGTTTCCTTTGCTGTGCAAAAGCTTTGAGGTTTCATTAGGTCCCATTTGTTTATTTTTGTTTTTATTTCCATTACTGTAGGAGGTGGATCAAAAAAGATCTTGCTGTGATTTATGTCAAAGAGTGTTCTTCCTATGCTTTCCTCTAAGAGTTTTATAGTGTCTGGTCTTACATTTAGGTCTTTAATCCATTTTGAGTTTCTTTGTGTGTATGGTGTTAGGGAGTGTTCTAATTTCATTCTTTTACATGTACCTGTCCAGTTTTCCCAGTACCACTTACTGAAGAGACTGTCTTTTCTCCATTGTATATCCTTGCCTCCTTTATCAAATTTTATACTTTTTTATCTTGAGACTTGATTTACCTTTTGAAAATTACTTCCATTTTGACAGCAATAACTATTAATATTACTATGTGAATAAATGGATATTAACTTCGACATCCAGTTTTGTTGTTTTATTCAAAGTATTTTCCTGCAAGTCAGTTGTTGATGACATTTTTCAAAAATGTCTTTAACCTAAAACAGATATAATTTCTAATAACATGATGGCATTTTGTTATTTGTTGAACTAAGGACAAAACTAATAAAAGTTCAAAAAGATTGGGGACTTAGACAAAAATAGGAACCTGTTACATATGACTATAGCAAATGGAGTTATAAGCCTTGCCTGTTTTTTTATAAGTTTATATCACATAACTTACAAATGTGTTATTACCAAGACCTGATTTTTCATTACTTTATTACTCAACTACTAGAAAATGCCTTGTGAAAATAATATAAAGAACTAATACATTAATGGAATGTTTAGAATCACCAATAATTAATAATTATATTATAGTATGTAGAATTAGAATAAAAGGTTCCATTTAGCAACATAAGCCTAAGTCCTAACTGTTAGCCTGCTCAAACTATATTTAATTTATAACGCTTTATCTAGCATAGTAAAATAATTTGGCATTCAGTCTGTCACAACTTTTTCTGTTGTCCACAGGAAAAAAAAAGAATAAACAAACTCCCAAATGAAATTTTATCTACCATTCAGTGTAGTCCATTCCACAGCCATCTTTTGGGGAACGTTCTTGGAAATATGTCACAAATTTTAAAATATTTGTTTGAACTAAATTGTTTATATTGCTTGTGTGTAAAATAATATAACAACTGAGGCTCTTTTCCCCAGAGATAAGACTTGGGATGTTCATGAGTATTTGAATAGTCTTTCTGAAGAATTAAAATCTTGGAGAGATGTATATTGGCGCTTGTGGGGAACAGTCAACTGGCTAACTTGTTCAAGATGTTATCAGGTGGGTTTTGTCTTTTTTTAATATCCTGCTCTGCAAACATTGAGAGCAGGCTCTTTTGATATATGCTGTTTAATTAGGGTGTGTTTGTACAATATCTGACATCTTTTTAAGAAACTAGTGTCAAAACGATGGTGCTATTAAACATTGCTTGCATCTGACTTCATTTCTCATACTATGGTTCTTTTTTTTTTTTTCCATTGCCGAAACAATCAATGACTTGATGAATTTTTATAAAACCAACAGGTTTTAGGTGATCAAATCCATTTTTTCCAATGGAAAAAAGATAACAGAATTCTCACTGCCTTTCATTATTTCTAGCCAAACTGTTTCTCTGTTAGCCCATAAATTTCTTTAGAAATTCAGAAACACCCTTGCAGATAGGATACTAATGAGATATGCCCTTCTTGTTAAAATAATTGTGTTACCAGAAAGGTTTTGTTCATTTTCTTCTAAATGAAGTCTATCATAAAAGCACAAGAAAGCTTGCTATTTGAAGGTACCTATAATAAATCCTTTTCTAGAATAAATAGATCTTTACTGGTCACAGTCATTCCAAATTAATCATATGTATAAATCCAGAGTGTTCTACATAAAATTTTTTTTGAATCCCTCAGGTCTCCCAGCCCCCAGTTCTTTTCCTCTCTCACTTGGGTAATTATTTTCAGTAGAAGGAAGGAAGAGCAGTGGACTCCCTATGTTCCCACAATTTTTAAAACCTTGATTTATTGAAGTATAATTTACATACAGTAAAATTTATCCTTTTGTGAGGTTTGACAAACTCATACAGTCATGTAACTACCATCACAATCAAAGCATAGACCACTTCTGTCAGCCTAAAAAATTCCCTCGTGCCCGTTTTAGGTCAATTCCTTCTTCCACCCCAGGCTCTGACAACCACTGTTCTGTTTACTGTCTCTATAGTTTTGACTTTTCCAGAATGTCATATAAATAGAATCGTACAGTTTTAGCTTTTTTTTCTTTTTCTTTTTCTTTTTTTTTTTTTTTTTGCGGTACTCGGGCCTCTCACTGTTGTGGCCTCTGCCTCTCCTGTTGCGGAGACCAGGCTCCAGACGCGCAGGCTCAGCAGCCATGGCTCACGGGCCCAGCCGCTCTGCGGCATGTGGGATCTTCCCGGACCGGGGCACGAACCCGTGCCCCCTGCATCGGCAGGCGGACTCTCAACCACTGCGCCACCAGGGAAGCCCAGTTTTAGCTTCTTGAGTCTAGCTTCTTTTACTTAGGAAAATGGATTTGAAATTTATTCACATTTTTGTATCTATCAGTTTGTTCCTTTTTAGCCTTAGGTAGTAGTCCATCATATGAATATATCCCAGTATGTTTATCCACTTACCAGCAAAGGACTGTAGGTGTTTCTAGTTTGGGGCCATTATGAAGAAAGCATCTATAAACATTCCCTTACAGGCTTTCATGTGAATATGTTTCTCTCGGGTAGTTAGCTAGAAGTAGGATCGTTGGATTGATGGTAAATGTAAGCTTAACATTTACCATGCCTAACAGTTTCCCAAAGTCCCTGAACCACTTTGCATTCCTTCCAGCTATGTATGGGAGTTCCAGTTGCCCCACATCTTCACTAGTGCTTGATATTGTCAGGTTGGTTTTTTGGTGTGTTGTTGTTTTTTTTTTTAACTTAATAGCTGTGTAGTGATCCTCCCCACAATGGAGTGTCGCTTATAATCAAGGATATCAGGCTTCTAAAACCTGACTTGTTTAACATGTCAGAATGCAGAAAATTTGAAGGATTTTTTTCTCTTCTTCATAGGAAATTAAGTCTTGATTTATAATATTTAATATTTTACTATGGAGAGTTCATAAACTCATAAAATAGTTTGTATGCAAAATACTTTGTATGAGTGTGCACCTTATAGCTTTTATCAGATGCAGAAATTTTTAATTAAAAACTATTATTTTAAAATCATAATTGGAACTAACAACTAAGAATTCTGAATTATAGACTATCCTTTCTTGCTTTTGTGTTCAGGATCTTTTTATTTTCTTTAAATTATCTTACCAACTTATAAATGTATCTGAAACGTGACTATTAATTTTACAATTAAACTTCGATAAGATTTTCACCAGTGATTCAAGGTTACTCCATAGTTGTCACTAATACTGATGCTAAGTATTTACCTTAAAAAATATGTCAAAGAATAAGTGAGGCAAATTTTTATTTAATTTTTTCCATTGGAAAACCTCTTATGTGATTGACCAATTTTAAAATTAGGTGTACATCAAGATCAGTTTAACTAATCTGAACTTAGTGTTTTTGATTTTGTTTTTTAATAGCTTTATTGAGGTATAATTACGTGCCATAAAAATCACTCACTTTAAGTGTACAATTTACTGATTTTTAATAAATTTACAGAGTTGTGCAACCATCACCACCATCCAACTTTAGTACATTTCCATCACCCCAGAAAGATCCCTCATGTCCATTTGCTGCCATTCCCCAACTCTGTCTCACTTTCAACACCAGGCAACCACAAATCTGCCTTGTATCTCTAGAGATTTGCCTTTTCTGTGCATTTTATGTGATAGAACATACAGTATGTGGTCCTGAGTGAAGTATTTTTGAGATGTATAATTTCATTGTGGGAATAATACTTGATTTTACGTATTTTTTTATTCAGGCTTTTCTGTGTATAGAGTTTTCACATTGTCAGTATCACTCAGAAACAGTGATTTATCCTACTGCAGGAAGTTCGCTAAGTTCTGTTGGCACTGGAATCTATCCCTGCTGTAACCAAAAGGTTCTTCGGTTTGACCCCACTCAGCTTACAAAGGTAAATTTTGAATGTTGCCCTTTTGTAATTACAGCACTCACTAACACTTCGTATTTAAGTCTTTTCCTCTTTTATTGTTTTTAAAATGTAAATATACATTCATGTAGAAAAGGCTTTAAAGCAATGCATAGGTAAGTATAGTAAAAAGTAGAAATCTCTCTTCACACCACTCCCTCATTCTACATCTCTTCTTAGAGGTAACCACTGTTCACAGTTCCTTTCAGACCTTGTTTTATACGTTTCAGGCACAAACTATATGTTGTTTTTCATTCTGGAAATAGGATCAGACTATTCATGTTATTCTTTAGTTTGCCTTTTTCACTCAATAATATAATTAGGTGATCATTCTGTGTAATATTAACTGCTGTGTAATACTCCAAACTGCGTATTTCACAATTGATTTAACCAGTCTCCTATTGATGAACATTTAGGTTGTTTCCAGATTAATAATATTACAGTGTTGCAGTGAACATCCTTGCACATATATCTTGGTGCAATATATGAGTATTGCTCTAGGTTAGAGTCCTTGATCACTCACATTCTTGAAAATATTATGTAATTAAGTTTTGTGAATGGACGAAAGGAACCTTCAGGTCTTCATCATCATCATCCATACAGTATTTATGAAGTGCCAAAGTTGTGTCGCAGACTGTGCAAGGCAGAGAGTAGTGTGTAAAACTGGGTAGTTTCTGCCTCCATGGAGCTTACAGTTCAGGCAATAATGTCAAAAAGGGAGGAAAAGCAGGCAAAGGAATGTTTGAAGAATTTCTGTAATAGGCTGGTTTTATCTGGACCTTGAAGTCAGGGAAAGCCTCCCTCCGTAAGGAGTTGGCACAGAGATCTGAAGGGTGGGTAGGAGTATGTGAGGCGAAGAGGAAGGAAAAGAGCCCTTTGATCAGAACAGCAAGGCCAAAAGGAACACAGTGGGTAAATGAGACTGAAAGAAACTGTGCCTGTTGTAAAAAACATGCATGGCTGAAGATGGGGCTGGAGAGGTCAGTAGGTGTCAGCCATGCAGGGGTGGGACTTCCTAGGCTGTGCTTTAGTTTCTTCTTTATTTCAGATTTTGAAAATATCAGTTGTGTGTGGAGAACGGCTTAGGGAATAGTCAGTGGAGTCATGTACAAGGGGAACTATCAGAGTAGTCTTAGGGAGATGACGGTGACTTGGACTAGGGCAGTGGAGACAAAGAGAAATGGATGAATCCAGTATTTAGGAAGTAAAACTGAATTGACCTATTGGATTATTTCACAGAGGGGATTGGAGGAGTCAAGGATGACTCAGTTTCTTGCTTCTGCTACTGGATAGATGGTGGTGCTATTCACTGAGGAGGAAAACAACAGAGGAATCAGGTCTGGAGAGGAGCTCATGAGTTCTGTTTTGGACATTTTGAGTTTGAGGTACTTTATGAGATAACCAGGCAAAGAGTGTTAGATACGTGGGTTTTGGTGCTTAGAGAGTGGCCAGGCTATAGATAATAATTTCTAAGTCTTGCAAATAAGTGATAATTGAAGCCAGCAGGTATAGGTGAGCATAAGAACAGAGGGTCTACAACAGAGCCTAGAGAAACTCCAACATTTATTGGTTGGATAGAGAAGCATGATCCTGCAAAGGAGAATGATCAGGAGGGGACAGAGTAAACCAAGAATGTTGTCATGAAAGTCAAGGGAGCAGTATTTGATGGAGAGAGTGTCCACGATGCCAGTTATTGCTAAGAGGTCAAATAAAATAATGAAAGAAATGTGTCTTTTGGCTTTGGTGACCGGGAATTCTTAAGTGCGAAGAACTGTTTTGATGGAGTGCTAGATTCAGAAGCCAGATTAGTATGGGTTGAGGAGTGAGTAGAAGAAAAAAAAATGGAAACAGTGTGATTAACAACTCTTTTGGGAAATTTGAGAAAGGGAGAAGATGGATCAATAATTAGGTTATGGATATTTATTGTTTCTGTCTTTTTAAAAAATTTTTTATTGGAGTATAGTTGATTTACAATGTTGTGTTAGTTTCAGGTGTATAGCAAAGTGAATCAGTTATGCATATACATGTATCTGCTCTTTTTTAGATTCTTTTCCCATATAGGTCATTACAGAGTTTTGTTTTTTTAATATTTATTTATTTGGCTGTGCTGGGTCTTAGCACACAGGATCTTCGTTGCAGCATGCGAGGTCTAGTTCCCTGACCAGGGATAGAACACAGGCCTCCTGCATTGGGAGCACGGGATCTTAACCACTGGACCACCAGGAAAGTCCCATTACAGAGTATTGAGTAGAGTTCCCTGTGCTATACAGTAGGTCCTTATTAGTTATCTATTTTATATATAGTAGTGTGTATATGTCAGTCCCAATATCCGTTTTCTACATCTGTGACTCTATTTCTGTTTTGTAAATAAGTTCATTTATAACCATTTTTTTTAGATTCAACTTATAAGCAATATCATATGATATTTGTTTTTCTCTGTCTGACTTACTTCACTCAGTGTGACAATCTCTAGGTCCATCCATGTTGCTGCAAATGGCATTATCTTCTTTTTTATGGCTGAGTAATACTCCACATCTTCTTTATCCATTCGTCTTTTGATGGGCATTTAGGTTGCTTCCATGTCTTGGCTATTGTAAATAGTGCTGCAATGAACATTAGGGTGCATGTAATCTTTTTGAATTATGCTTTTCTCTGGGTATATGCCCACAAGTGGGATTGCTGGGTCATATGGTAGTTCTATATTTAGTTTTTTAAGGAACCTCCATACTGCTCTCCATAATGGTTGTACCAATTTACGTTGCCACCAACAGTGTAGGAGGGTTCCCTTTTCTCCACACCCTCTCCAGCATTTATTGTGTGTAGATTTTTTGAGGTTGGGCATTCTGACCCATGTGAGGTAATACCTCATTGTAGTTTTGATTTGTGTTTCTCTAATAATTAGTGATGTTGAGCATCTTTTCATGTGCTTTTTGGCCATCTGTATGTCTTTTTTGGAGAAAGGTCTATTTAGATCTTCCACCCATTTTTTTCTTTTTTTAAAAAATATTTTTATTTTTTCCATTCTTTTTCAAATTCTTTTCCCATTTAGGTTATTACAGAATATTGAGCACAGTTCCCTGTGCTATACAGTAGGTTCTTGTTGGTTGTCTATTTTATTTGTACTTTCTTTCTTTTTTTTTAATTGAAGTGTAGTTGATGTACAATGTTGTACCAATCTCTGCTGTACAGCAAAGTGACTCAGTTATACACATATATACATTCTTTTTTTATATTCTTTTCCATTATGGTTTGTCACAGGATATTGAATATAGTTCCCTGTGCTATACATTAGGACCTTGTTGTTGGTTATCTATTTTAAATACAGCAGTGTGTACACTTCTGCCCATTTTTTGATTGGGTTGTTTATTTTTTTTGATATTGAGCTGCATGAGCTGTTTGTATATTTGGGAGATTAGTCCCTTGTCAGTCTCATCATTTGCAAATATTTTCTCCCATTCTGTGGGTTGTCTTTTCGTTTTGTTTATAGCTGCCTTTGCTGTGCAAAAGCTTTCAAGTTTAATTAGGTCCCATTTGTTTATTTTTGTTTTTATTTTCATTTTTATCTCTAGGAGGTAGATCAAAAAAGATGTTGCTGCAATTTATGTTAGGGAGTGTTCTGCTTATGTTTTCCTCTAAGAGATTTATAGTATCTGGCCTTACATGTAGGTTTTTAATCCATTTTGAGTGTATTTTTGTGTATGGTGTTAGAGAATGTCCTAACTTCATTCTTTCACATGTAGCTGTCCAGTTTTCCCAGCACCACGTATTGAAGAGACTGTAGGAGAGACATTTTAAAAAGTCAGTAGGAAGGATCCAGTTGAGGAGGAGGGATTGATAGTACAAGGTTTATGAGGAGGCAGGATAAGGTGCAATTGTAAGCACATATGTCAGTATTCGTTTAGAGAGGAGGAAGGGCAGCCCCTCTATTATAACAGGAGAGAAGAGCAGGATGGTTGCAGATAATAGTAAAATTGTGTTTTTGTCATTTGGATGATAAGTTGTTCTAACCTATTATCTTTTCTGTTCTCTGTAAAGTAGAAGGTAAAGTCATCTGCTAAGAATGAGGGGTAAGGGACTTCCCTGGTGGTCCAGTGGTAGAGAATCCGCCTTACAATGCAGGGGAGGCGGGTTCGATCTCTGGTCAGGGAACTAAGAACCCACATGCTGCAGGGCAGCTAAGCCCACGTGCCACAACTACTGAGCTCATGCACCTCAACTAGAGCCTGCATGCTGCAAACTGCAGAGCCCACGTGCCCTGGAGTCCACGCACCACAACTAGAGAGAGAAAACTCACACGCCATAACTAGAGAGAAGCCTGCACACCACAGCAAAGATCCCAAGTGCAGCAACTAAGACCCGAGGCAGCCAAAAAATAAAAATAAAAATAAAAAAATAAATAATAAATAAATCTAAAAAAAAAAGAATTCTTTATTAAAAAAAAAAGAATGAGGGGGAAGAGAGAAGGGTCCAAGGTTTGAAAGACGTACCAAAGGTTTGAAATAGTCTTTTTGGAAACCAGGAGAGTGAATTTTCCAAAGAAATCTTGTAGGTTATTAGGCAGTTTGAAAGCCATTTGGAGATTGGTGATCATGAATTTACAGTGAAATCCCACATGCCTTTTTATATCACTCTCTCCAGCAGTCCTTAGCTGCTTGAGTGCAGGCATAGAGAAAGTAGGTATTTGAGCTCATCCCGATGAGTATAATGAAATTTAGGGGCAAGGAATTTGGAGTATTAGCCATAAATGTTATTAAAGTGATGGATCATGAAATTTAAGCTGGATTAAGAAATTTGTTATATTTACGATCAATTAGCAGTTTTGATTAGTCAGAAATTTTATTGGTGAAGTAATAAATAGGTTAGTTACCCTTATAATGTTCATGTTCATGTTTAAAGTTTTAGATAATGCTTTTCATACAAAGCCATTTAAATGGGGCATGAGACTTTAAGCAAAATGGGGTTCGCTTTGATAGGCCCAAGATGAT